TGGCCCTGAGCTAACATCTGTGCCCATCTTCCTCTACTTTATATGGGACGCCGCCACAGCATGGCTCAACAGCAGTGTGTCGGTGCGCACCTGGGATCCGAACCGGGGAACCCCGGGCTGCCGCAGCAGAGTGCTCGCACTTAACCGCTTGCGCCACTGGGCCAGCCCCCTTATTTTTGTTGTTTTTTTTTTTTGACCATCTCTTTGCTAACAGTTCCTGTTCCTCCAGACCCCAAGTGCAGCATAGTGTTTTTTCTCACATCTCTTCTTGAAAAAGTATTCTTTCTGAGAATTTTTCTACTTCAGTGATCTTGCTCCTTTCCACAACTTCAACTGTGACCTCTCTTTATACAGATACTTCCAACCTGGTTATTCTCCTGAACTACAGATCTCTGTCGACAGTTAGCGGCTTGAGCGTTCCACTGGCACTTTCAGCTCTGTGTATAAAGTTAAATCCATTATCTCATGAAACCAGCTTCTGTTCCTGGACCTCTTTTAGCTCCTAGCAGAGTGCCTGGCAAAAAGTAACACTCCTGACACAAAATAAGTGTTAAGTAAATATTTGATGAATGACTTCATTATTTGTGTTAATATCACTTCCGTTAATGGCGCATTCATTTTTCATTCATCTTTTTCTTTTACCTCCTATACCCACTTTATTGCCATTGCCGATGTTCTGTCTTCATAGTACTTCCAAATTTCCCTTTTTCCATTTCCATTGTATCTATCTTAATTCTGGCCTTCATTTTTTCTTGTTTATCTATCTTTATTCATCTCTCTTTTACTTTTTTCTCCCTACAGTAGTCTATCCATCACCTTCAAAATTAGCAGATTGACTTTTACCATACTCCTTTTCAAAAAACTTCAGTGATTCTCATTTGGTTATTAAAGTAATAATAAATTCCCAGCTATAATTTCAGGGTCTGCCCAATATCATCTCGTTCTGTCTACCCAGTCTGCAGTCCAAGGATTCTTCTCCACCATAACCTTTATCCCAAACAACCAGTTTATTCTCCCTGTGATGTTTCTCTTTTTCCAAGTTTTTAACAGTCAGATATCACAAAACTCCTTTAAGAAGACTTCTGTTAACTTATTCAAACACCACAGACCTTTTATCTGTAGTTACCTTACAAACTTTATCATGTACACTTGTATACTAAATACAAACACATCTGCTGCTGCTCTAGTAGATCATATTTTGTAGGCAAAAACTACTAGTCATTTACCTGTTATCCTCTTTAGAACCTCACACAGTGCCTTGCATATTGTGCGTACACAATAAATGTCTGTTGAAGTCCTCACTGTTGTCTTTTCTCATCCCACAATAAAATAAGACTGATCCTAGTCTCAGAATCTATCCAGGCTTTCACTTCATTATGGAGCTCACCCTTACTGGAAATTAGGGGAATGTTGCAGGTTGTAGTCATTTTTACCATTACCCCAAACTAAGCCCTCTGCACTCAGCAAACCTGGGTGGGAGGGGGTGACAGGGGAAGCAGGGGACAGTCAGGATGACAAGATGGCTAATCTTTGATAGCCAGAGTGAGGGACTATTTTACTATAACTGTCTCTTATCTCTTGGCTCTGTCTTAATTCCTCTTGACCAATGGATATCAAAAGATAGGCCTCCCAGTGTTAGGCAGCTTTCGGAAATGTAAGAGGATAAGAAGGTTGCAGTGAAACAGACAAACCCAATGTATTTGTATGATCATTGTATGTATGTATTGTATTGTATGATATTTTAGTCATTAACACAGAAAGGTAAAATTAAATTGAGACCATTAAGTGGGAAATTCAATTAATGTGCCCCCAAAATGTATGTGTTTGAGGCACATTTTAATGGAAAGTTACTGAGACAACTGGAGTTGCTGCCACCGCCTGGGAGGCAGCCTGATTTGAATCTATAGGTTGCCATAGTTACTTTTATTCTGTAAAACTATTGTTTTCTTTATAATGGTACACTGTAAAGTGTAAGTTATGTTTATATGTTCATGCATATATTACACTTAATATTACACATTAAGTCCATTTTCCAGGTTAAAATATGTACATATTCAGGGATCTCTGGGTGGTGTTTTGGAATAGAAATTTGGGTCAGTCTCTGATTTAACATTTAGGTCACATGTAGCTTAAGAAGAAAAACAGGAAGAAATGTAGGTTTTAGGGAAATTTGAACCTCAGTTTAGGGTAAAAATTATCCAAGATAAGCTGAAAGGTATAATGTTTCCTGTAATTTTTAGTGTCTAACAGAAGTCATTCAGACATGTCATGCTGTCACAATGAAAGAATAAAAAGAGGCAAAAATCTCTACTTGAATCTCAACTCTGAAATTTGCCAACTGACCCATGTTGGGCAAATTGCTTAACCTTTCTGAAACTCAGAGTTCTCATATGGAAAAGGGGAAATACTAATGTGAAGGTACTGGATAATTATAAATACTATATCAGTATACTAATATGCTTCTCTTTGTTGACCAGCCACGAGGTTGTAAATTGGGAAAGGAGGGAAAACATGAAAAATAGGTAGTTAGAGCTGTAATACCTCATGCTAACTGGAAATATTTCACTGTGTATGTAATTATACTTTAATTTCTTTGCTAATAGAATATTCGGGTTTCAGCAACCTCCCCTGTGAAAATAAGCTTCTCTTATCCAGGTCTGCAGCATCTGATATTTATACAGTTGATATTTATTTTGTTAAAAATGCTGTCAACATCAAGTCTGACTTTTCTACCGTGTTTCCCGTAGTCTCTCTTTATGATCATTTTTACATCTGTCAAGACGCACATTCAAAGAGTCTTTTGCTCATTACCTGAACTACCTGTGCCAACAATTCAAAAGGAAAAAAGATTGCCTTTTGTTATTGACTAAAGCGAAGGACAACAGTGCCGTCTGAATCTGAAATTTTTCCTGTTACATGGCGTTGAGCTCTCGAGGTGTGTTCCTTCTGTGCAGACACATCTCTGAATAGCACTCTTTGAGTGTTTCAGAAATAAAAGAATCGAGTTCAACAGAAAAGGCTCTGGCTGGTACTAAGACTGAGGAAGAGAGAGAAAAAGAAAGGAAGAAAGAAAAAAGTGAGTCAAGGACAGAAACAGACACACTCCTGCAGGATGATAGCCACACGCGTCCGTGAATACCACAGCCAGTCACTCAGCGGTAGTGCCGCTGAGTACAGACAGGAGGGAGAAAAGAGACTTTCAGAGACAATGCGCTATAGGGCAGAGTTCTAGGTTGATATGTGTGGTTATACATCTTGGTTTTTTAAGTCAGGCTGAGGGTGGAGAAACTAAAGCAGCAACACAAAA